GTTACCAAGCACTGGAACAGGCTGCCCAGGGAAGTGGTTGAGTCACCATCCCTGGAAGTATTTAAAAGATGTGTAGATGTGGTGCTTAGGGACATGGTTTAGTGGTGGACATGGCAATGCTAAATTAACAGTTGGAGTCAATGATTCTGAGGGTCTTTTCCAAACTAAGTGATTCCACGATTCTAAAACTGGCCACATATACTTTTGGACCAGGCTACAAAAAGAGCCCCAGCAGCCCAACCCATCCCTCCTTCCAGAGCCACCTCTGACCAGGAAGAGCTCAGAGAGACCTTCTAGAGACATGGCCAGCTCTGCCAGCTGGCCTGCCTGGCCACAGGTCCCTTGAGGAAGAGCTTTAATCCCTGTTCAGCTGTTGGGATTGCCTTGCAAAAATGATACTGATTTAGTACCAAAAGGCAGAAAAGCCAAAGCCAGAATTAAAAAACGTATGTTGGACTTGCATGTGCAATTTATGGGGGTACTTTTTCTCTGTAGGTGGGGAAACTGATAACTCCTGGGACTGGTAAGAGCGCAAGTATTGCAGATGCTGGGAGCCCCTGGCACTCGGGTTCACAGTATTTGGGCCATCAAGCCCTCCAAGGACACAGGCAGCAGCGCCTGCAGAAAACGCAGAGAGCTGCCTGCAGTTTTCTGCCTGCAGAGGCGCCGCCTTTCACGGGGGAATGAACAAGGCACAAGGAGCCCCCAGGGCCAGGCGGCTGTTCATCCCAGCCCCAAAGCCACAGCACCACCACAGACCAAAGCCAGTTATGGTGTTGCGACTGGGAGAGGACCATCGCATAGCCTCCCCATTCCCTGCCTCGACGGGACACCACCTGGTCAGGAGAAACGCCCAAGCCAGGACAGGAGGAAATCGAGAGATGCCAGGGCAGGAGAGACTATGGGACTATTGACGGAAAATGTCAATAAAAAAGAATAATTAACAGATGTGATGGTGGATAATAAAAATCTCAGGCAAAGAAAAATTAAAAATACATGCTAAGCCTCTCTTCTACAACCCATACTCTTCAGTGCTATAAATGCAGCTATTGACATTTTCCGTTAAAGGTGAATTAGCTCTAACATCACTTGTGAACATCGGAGCTGTCACAATCCAGCTCCCATGTACCCACTGCAGTAGAGCAGATGTGCCCTGCTGACTTATCAGGAGCCCAGGGGCAGAGGCCCAGCTTTTCACAGCACACTCGGCAAGTAAAAAACAGAAAGTAAATGAATTTGGACTGGGTGTGTGTGTGTGTGTGTAATGTCTATGAGAAAAGGAGTGGCTTTGCTCAGAGAAAACTGTCCTAACTTTTCCATGTCTCCCTCCTTGGACAGACCCCCTGTGCCCAGAGACAGCAAATGTCCAACAGTAGTTTCCTCACCCAGTTCCTTCCCCTGGCATTTGCAGACATGCGGGAGCTGCAGCTCTTGCACTTCTGGCTCTTCCAGGGCATCTACCTGGCTGCTCTCCTGTAGCAATGACCTCATCATCGCCATAGCCTGCGACCACTACCTCCACACGCCCATGTACTTCTTCCTCCTCAACCTCTCCCTCCTCGACCTGGCCTCCATCTCCACCACTGTCCCCACACCCATGTCCACTTGTCTCTGGGACACCAGGACCATCTCCTTTGTAGGATGTGCTGCACAGGTCTTTTCTTTCTTTTTCTGTGCTACAGCAGAGTTTTATCTTCTCACCATCATGGCCTATGACCACTGCATTGCCATCTGCAAATCCCTGCAGGGACCCTCCTGGGCAGCAGGGCTTGTACCAGCATGGCAACAGTTGCCTGGGGCAGTGGTTGTCTTTATGCTTGGCTACACACTGCCAATGCCTTTTCAATACCACTCGACCAAGGCAATGTCCTGGACCAGTTCTTCCATGAAATCCCCCTGATCCTCAGGCACTCCTGCTCAGACTCCTACCTCAAGAAAGCTGGACTTGTCATGGTTAGTACCTTTTTTCTTTTGTTTTTTTCTCATTTTCATCATGCTGTCCTATGCGGAGATCTGAAGATCCCCTCTGAGCAGGGATTGCACAAAGCATTTTCTATGTATCTCCCTCACCTGGCCATGGTCTCCCTGTTTCTCAGCACTGGCATATTTGCCTACCTGAAACCCCACACCATCTCCTCCCCATCTCTGGATCTGGTGGTGGCAGTTCTGTTCTCAGTGGTCCCTCCAGCAGTGAACCTCCTCATCTATAGCATGAAGAACAAGGAGCTCAAGGATGCCATTAAGTGATCCCATGAACATTTTTCAATGGTGATAAAATTACCACCTCTCTCCACAAATGACTCCCAGAGTATCTGATTCTAGACTTCTGTGTGGTTTTTTTATAATTATATTCATCATTATTGCTATTGGTACCTGTGGTTATCATTTTCCTATAAAAATGTTTGGATTTGTCTCACTACAACTAAGGCATTAACCTGCTCTGGCTCACCTGGAGCCCATATAGAAGTGTGTCTAAGAGTTCCTCAGAGCTAGCTCTCTCATAGCATCTCTCAAATGAAATGGGATCTCCTCAGTACACTGCCTGAAGGCTGGGCTCTTCCTCCAAAGCTGGTGTCAAGAACAGGCTTGAGGAACTGCATCCCAAAAGTTCTTCCTCCCCGTGTTCAGGAGTATAAAGACCATTGTCACATTTTGACCTGTTAGGGACTAAGGACTAGATTTAGGAATCACCCATCTAGTGCTCTTTTCTCCTCACACTTGTCTCCTGCTCCAGCATGAGTCTCCTCCATGGGCTGCAGTCCTTCAGGATAAACTTGCTCCTGTGTGGGCTTCCCTCCACAGGCTGCAGTTACCTTCAGGAGAACCTGCTCCAGTGTGCGCTCTCCATGGGCTGAAGCTTCTTTGAGGAAATATCCTCCTGCTCTGGTGTGGGGTCTTCCATGGGCTACAGTGTGGATATATGCTCCACTGTCGTCCTCTCTACAGGCTGCAGTGGGGATATCTGCTCCAGCACAGTCCTGTCCATGGGCTACAGGGAAATACCTGCTCCACCATTGTCTCTTCCACGGACTGCAAGGGAATCTCTGCTCCAGTGCCTGACCAGCATGGCCAGTTCAGGGTCATCCCTTAGCCCTGAGCACCACAGCTCCTCGCTCTGCAGAGCAGCACCGCCAGCTTGGGGCCCTGTGGGGTGAGTGGGGGGGGCAGGAATGGCTGGCCGGATAGAGGAGGAATAGGGAGAGATCAGAAGGGAGCTGACCTGGGCTCAGAATTGCCTCAAATAGAACCATGCCAGCATTCATCTAACCCAAGTCCATGTTCAGAGTGTAGGTACACTAATGTGTGCTCATGGGTGAAAAGCCAGCTGTCCTTGCTGTCCTGGTGCTCCACAGGGCCTAGTAAGTGGCTGAAGAAGGACTCAAGTCCCCCATTCCCCATCTCTTAATGCCATTGTTCGTCCCTTTGATGAAATGGGAGGCTGGAGCCTTGTGCCTGAACTTGCACTGAAGGAAGCACAACCCAGGGGCCATGTCAGTTTGCTGCTGTCCCTCAGTCCCCATCCCCAGCACATGCCCATAAGACAGTCTCTCCCACTCCACGTGCCAGCCCTCACCCCATTATCACCCCTAGACAAAAGTTCCTCACCAGGCTCCTGCTGGAGGCCTATGGTCCAGCTGTGATCACAGGGAGGACAAGTCCTCTCCTGAACCCTTTGCAGGGCTGGCAGCATCCAGCTCCAATTTGGCTCCAGGCTCTGTTTGAGCAACAACTCAGATCTGTCCCCTGCTTAGGCTCCAACTTCATTCCAGCCTCTGCTCAAGTGGCTACTCAGACCGGGCGCCTACTTGGGCTCCAACTTGACTCCAGACCCCACTCAAGCTCTTACTCAGCATTGGCCCCTGCTTGTCCTTCAGTTCCTACCGAGCCCTTTCTCAGGCTGCTGTAATCTTCAGCTCCCTACTCAGGCAGTTTCTGGGCTCTGGCCCTTATTCTGGCTTCCACTCTCCTCCAGCCTCTGCTCCAGCTGCTACTTACTGCAGCCCTTTTTTGGGTCCAGTGGGGTCTTACGTCTCTTGGGCGGCTGCTTACATCTTTCCCCTGCTCAGGCTCTGACTGACTTCTGGGTCCTGCAATGCCACTACAGGCTCTGCTCAGGGAGATACTTTGCTCTGGCCCCTGCTCAGGCAGCTATTTCTCTCTCTCTTTCTGGGGGCTGCTCAGCTCCAAGCACTGTTTGACAGCTCCTCATTTCTAGCTCTTGTTCATGCTTCAACTTGTCTCTGGCTTAAGCTTCGCTCCAGCCCCTTGTGGGGTGGATCCTCAGCGCTAGCCCATGCTCAGGGATTACTCCGCCACCACCATTGTACAGGCAGCTGCTCAGCTTCGGCCCCTGCTTGTCATAACAGTGCCCCACTGACACAAAGGCGAGCTCCTTCCTTGGTCTCAGTGGCCCCACCCCATCCTGCCCCTGCCTTCCCCCTCTCCTGAGCCCTTTTGCCCTGCCCCCCGGTGCCCCCGTGCTCCCAGGCAGCCACTCCTCTTGACCCCAGGCCCCTGGCCGAGGAGAGGACAGGCCCTTCCCTGGGGCTGAAGAGGCTCCTGGCTCCCCCTGCCACTACTCACATGCATGCAGACCACCCCAATACCCCAGTGATGCCCCATGTTGGGGGCTTGCTCAGTTCTCACCCTCCTCAGTGTTGGGGGCTTCATCTTCATGGCAGGTGCAGTGACAGATGATGGCAAGCACTCCCTGCCCGTGAGCACCAGGGTGTCTCCTCTGGATGCTGCTCTATCAGCCCTGAGGGGAAGCGGGATGTAGTGAGTCTCCAGCATCCGGCCCCAGGGTGCAGGGGCCACCCCTCCCTCAGCACGCAGCCACTGCTGCCCTCCTGTCCGCTGTGACACCAGGGGGACGCAGCCACCCCTGCCGTCCTGCCCACTGTGACATGGCCATCACAGCACTGGGGCTGTAAAAAAACTTTTACAACAGAACATTTAACCTAATGTGTTTGATTGCTCCCCAGATCCCAGTAATTTCACTGCGAATATTTGGCAATACTTTTACATATTGCCTGGCTGTGGGTTACATTTGCCTGCTTTTCCCCTTTTTATCTACCTATTTATTAATAATACTGATAGTAAGCAAGCTCTCAATAAACAAATAATACTGTTCTTCCTATGTCATTAAAAACCTGAAATAAAGAGATATAGCATTTCTGTTTATAAGCCCCTTATTTGCAGATAGATGCAGAAAATTAAGTATTTAACTGTAAATCAAGTTGGTGCTTTACACTAGAACGTATTAAAGTTCAAGTATTAAAGATACTAGTTTTAAGTGTAAAAACAATGACAAATGTAGAATAACTGTGTCTGGTAAAGCTTTTGTCTAATGAAATATGAATTCCACAAGTCAGTAAAATTATGTAATATTATAGTTGTAATAATGCTTTACAGTGCTGAGTTTTATGGGGAAAATTATTATGCATTATTTGCTTTTTTTGATCCATAAGCTTATAAATATCAAACAGTATTATTCAAGAAAATGAAAATATTAGAGTAGGATTTAACTCATTACTTCATCATTAGGACAAGTTTGGTTCAATGTACTGTAACATTAAAATGTGCAATACTGTAAAGCTTGAACATGACCACTATCTGTCCCTAACTGGCTCAGGTGAGGTTAGTATCTAAAAAAAAAAAATGTCCTGAATTATTCGCTGAAGTGACTAATAGTTGTAGCTCTTTTATTGCATCAAATATGTTCAGTGAAAAAACAGAGGAAGAAGGTAATTTTTAAATGTTTTATTTTGGGGAGTTTGTTAAAGTTTTTATTCATTCAAGAATTAATATAAAAAGCCAGCAACTTTTTAATCTTTTTGGCAAACTTTTTACCTTGTCCATGCAGGCAGGTAAGAAGACAATTGACTTTATGTGTACAACTAGTCCCAGGACACTACTTGAACAGAACGGTAAACAAGGGATTTTGAGAAAATTTGGAGAAACAGGGTAGAGTTCCTTCCACTAACAGATGGCTTTGCAGCAGGCAACAGAACAAAATAATAAGTAATCAAGTGCAACGGCTAAACTGCCTTGGAGACTTTGTATTTTCTATTCTGCCTTCCACTTCACCTCTACATCTCCCTTCCGTAAGGATTCAGCCACTAGCCTAAACATTGATGAAGCCCTCATCCTTAAAATACTTCAAAGTAAAAAAAAAAAAGAGATTGCAGCAGCATTAAGTATAAACTGATAATAGTGAAGGAGAGGATTAGTAATCTGGAATGAAAATATCAACACACTATTTTAGAAAGCAAAGTTTTTCTTGAGCTGGCGTGGTTTGAGTTCCCTACCAGAAACACTACAAAGAAAATTAAGCGGATGATTGGTGATTTGATAACCAACTGCTAAGAAGAAGTAGGAGGCTTTCAATCTAGCTAGGAATTTGACATTATTATTATAGATTTGATAAGCCATATAGTGTGCTATTTTGGAAGGATGAAACATATTTAGTGAACGTCTATTTGGCATGAAGAAGCAGGTACTAAGGGAAGTTAGTCAAGCATGTTATCAAGCAATTCTCAGCAACAATTCTGTACTACAAAGAGTGAATTTTTTTTTTTTTAAACAGAAACCACAAAGTGTTCTATATTCATGTAATGGAAATCATAACAACAAGATTGGTCAGGCATATAAAATCATTTTACAGAACTGTACATAGGACATCTATTATAACTAAGATATAGAACCACATGAAACTGCACAGTTAAAAGACTCTTCCAATGTGAGCTCAGAAGGCAACTGAATAGGAGAAAATATGAATTGTCTTTGTAGATGTTCTTATGGTTTCATAAACAAGGGACAGATGGCAGAAAATACAAGAGGTTAACTGTTGTATGCATGATGAGTATGTGTCAGGGTTACTGTGCTTTCGCAAGAAAAACAGCTGAGTGAGGAGACCAGCTGGTTCTCGTAGGAGAGCACTGATCTTTCTCAGTGAGAAGTTAGCGGAAGTATCCTAGAGAATAAGAAATAAACTAATCCTGTATAAAGGCAAGCTCACAAAATGGTGAAGAATGACAATTTTTCATTTACTTTGTCATCAAGGCTAAATGTTTAAAACAGTAAATAAGTAGATATTCTCAGAGGTAAGAAGCACTTTATATAGTTGGCATTATCAAAGATACTGACTGGGGCGATTCACATGACCAGAATATTATAAACTGCTTTAGCTCAGTCAGGAATTTAGAATACCTGTTTGTTTGCGTGAGAAAGAAACCTTCTATACC